CAACTCAGAGGTCCTTTCAATCCATTGGAGGTATGAATGAGTTTTTTAGATGACTTTTACTGATTATGTGTTTATTTCCGTATATTTAGTGTACGTTTAAAGGCGTGAGTCGTCAGACGTCGTTCCGGAAGGTGGGCGTCGACAAGGATTCCGTGAACTACGTGGTGTTAGAGCCCGACTACCTGTCCAAACACACGCGTATGTTGGTGTCGGCGAGTATGGGTTTGCGTCAGAATAGCGGTAATATAACGCTGAGAGACACGACTTTAATGCCAAACATACGCGGCTTTCCGGCGTTGATGTCACTGCTGTTCGCACCGCGCTTTCAGCTGAGGGTCGACAGCGAACAGCGCCAATACGTGGGCGCCATTTGTGGGCTTGGCTTTGATGGGCGCACCCTTAAGGGCTACGACGCCGACTACGACTCCGAGGTATCATTTGTGACATGATTTTGTTGTCCATTTTGATAGCAATTTGTTTGTTGTTTCAGATTATCTTTGATTCGGACATATCTCGCGAAGACTTAGTCAAAGTGAATGTCATTCGCTATAATATCAGTACACTTCTGGCGAGCCGTCAGTCGCTCCAGGAGTACACTGAGGGCGGGCTGACTATCAAACAGCGCAAAGTCCGCCGCAATATCATTGAGCTGTTGGACAGACGCCGACGACTCATCAATAACTCGAAATTTCAGCCGACCTTCAAATGGATGAAAGTGTCGGACGAGGTTCAGGGTATCGACAAAACCGAGTTGCAGGCGAACGCCAATCTGTTGCCATACTGTCAACAAATACCACTCCATCAGTACGACTGGTTTCAGGACGTGGCGAAGAATCTCGAAGAACTTAAAGGGCTAGAGAACGGGTATGTCTTGAACCATATGTTCACTAAACTGAACTTTTCGGTTGATTTGAGGGTTTAATCAATTGATGTGTTTGTGTATTGGTAGCGATTGCGTGACATATGTGTGCAAATTATGTGAAGTGAAGGCCTACTCGAAGCCCGATATGATGAGTCACGTGCACTCGGATGAGCACAGGGATGGTGTGGACGACTTCGATAAGAACCTGAAGATTCACGAACAGGAAACTGCGAAACAGAAGTACTTCCAGAGCCTCGAGGATGACGGCATCGAAGAGGACGCAGAAGTCTTTGACATCGAATCCGATTCCGACTAATCGGCGGTCAAGACTTGGCTTTGGATTAGTTTTTTATGCTTTGATTTTGATACACTATTTTTGATACATTTCCCCTTAGTTTTTAGTTTGATTTGAATTATGTCTGATTTGTTCGTTTTGTCTAATTTCTAATCACAAATGCAATAATTATTTGATTCATTTTTGTTTGAAAAATTATATTATTAAATTATATTTAAATTATAAATAATATTAAATTGTTTATCGCTGAAAGTAAAGCTATTTATCGTTGAAACAATATTTAATACAAAATTTGTCTAATTTTTGATACTTCGTGTAGTTTTGTAGGTTTCAAGTGTTTTGTTTAATAAATAAATGATTTGAAATTGTAATTTGTTTTCACCGTTCATTTCATTACCACAAACGCTGAGTAAATTTAATGTCATTTTTGGTGAATAAAAGTGATTTCATGTGTCGAAAGCTTTTTATTCAATTGTTTTATTCATTAATATATTTCTTATAAACAGAACAAGTTTTATTAAATTATATTTTTATTTGAATAGGAATTGAAATTTTGGCACAAATAATATGATGTCTACTTAAATGTCTAATGAATTGTTTTTCGATAATAAGTTTTTTCGTTTAGTAATATTTTAATTTTTTATATAATAATTAAGTTGTTGTTAAATATCTACAGAAATGTTCGCTAATTTTCTGCTAATCCGTGTCTCGTCTGAGATTTAAATGTTTTATATTTGTTTTGGTTTTGTGTCATTTTATTATAACAACAATTATATGACTTTTTTAGACAACAGTTAGAAAATAAGGGATTAATTTAATTCCAGAGACAATATTTGAGACAAAATATAATATATTAATATATCAATAGTTTTCTGTATTTTGTAAATAATGTTCTCCATATTAATGTATAATTTTATATCCAATTAATTAAACAATTTCTATAAATATTTTGTTTGTAATCTCTTATATAATAGATTTTTTATAATAATAATTTTAATACAACTTTTTAATCGACAATTATTTGTGGACCCATAATACAGTTACAGAATATTCTGGTTTACTATTCTGTGTTATACGGTATGTGTATGTGTTTTGTCATTATATTAAACTCATAATTAGAGTTATATTTTAGTCATTTCACGAATTATGACATTTTGTTAGTTATTTTGTGTTTATTTTATTCTCATATACAAAGCCATTATTTATATTATTTGTCTTTTGTTTGATTTTTGTGTGTTTTATTTAAACAATTGTTTAAATATTAAAATACAATTAGAAAAATGAGACAAACATTCAGTATTTGAAAAACAAATCGATTCTGTGTTTTTCATTTTAAGGATTAAAATATACATAGAAAAGGATTCCGTGTTTTTAAATACAATTTGAAGTCTCTTTTATGGGAAATATATTTTTGTAAATCAATTGCTTTATCTGCACTTAAGTACTAATAATAGTATGAAATTTCATTACAAAACATATTCTCTCGCATTATTTTCAAAACTTTTACATTTTTTATATTGCGTTAAAAACTTATCGTTAAGTGTTTTTCAATGAGTTCTCAATGCATTCATCGATTTTGGCGTATTTTATGAGATTTTCAAAGATTTATTTCACATTTTCTAATCGATATATTCTCTTAAAAAGCAAAAATTCACTTTTTATTTTAGCCGTTTCAGTCATTTTATTATTGTGTTTCACATATATTCTGGTTATTAATTGTCTCAACAATTATAACAAATCGATTTCTTATAATACTATGACTTTCTCATTATTACAGATACGATATTCATTCAATTTATCTAAGAATTGTATATTTAAATAATATTATTTATAAATTATATATCATTTCTGTCTTTACTGTAATAACAATTAAGAAATGGATTTTCAAATTATATTTTGTCATACAATACAATTCAAAGACATTTCATGAAACCTATTCAACGATCTATTTATACATCAATTAGAAATTAGTCTAAAGAATATTCTGCTTGAATATATTAATATATAAATTCATATGTTTCTTAACCGGTTAATAGTTAGTAAAATTTAATATAAAAGCAATATATAATTAGCTCTCATGTGATCAAATTGATGGTAAACTACTCTGTATTTTATCATTTATTTTGCTGATTAAAAGTTACCAATATATTTATATATAAGTTATTATATAAACAATTTAATTAGAAATTATTATTTGATTTGGATTTTGTTGTTGACATTAAACAGAGACTAAAGTTTTTATTTATTATTATATTTACTCCAATTTTTGTGTTCATTATATTGAGTTATACATTAAAAAGATTTATATTTTACCGCAAAATATATATAATAATTATAACAATAATAATTAATAATAATAGTAATAAGAAAATGTTGTTGAAAATAATAGTAAAAACGACATAAAACTTATACATACATTAAATATACAGTTCATTCATTTATTTTCATTTACAATATAATAGTTTTAATAATAATAATGTATTTTAAATATCATTTGAGATAATATTATGTAAAAAACTTTTTTCTTCGCTTCACTTCTCTATGAACACCAAAAAAGTTAATATTTTTTGTTGTCTTTTAATTAAATTATATTTCCGTACATTCAGTTTGTTTGCTTTGCTCTCGTAATATAGGAAACAACAAAAATTATTTATCATAAGATTTATTGGAATTAATTTGAGAATAATTTACACCAAAAAATAAGGGCACAAAAGATATATATAATATGGCATATAAAAATTAATTTCAAACTTAAATATAAACACAAAAACTATTTTGTAATTATTTTTTCCATTTTCCAATATATCGTATATATAAATGTATTCAAGAAAACATGTTTGGCGACGAAACAGACTTTTAAATAATTAATATTTTTATTATTAACATAATATGTCGTACACATAACATAGAAATATAGGGGACAGGGATGAATGTTGAGGTTGAGGTGATATTTAAGGTCTAGTAGTATCGCAGACCTGAATGGTGTGTTACGATAGGCACGGGTCCAGCGGTTGAATAGCAATAGAGAAGTGTTTTCTTAGAATATAATAATTAGTGGCGTTTGGTCTCTGGTTTGTCGTTTGTATTGTATATATAAATGTATTTTTTGTTGTGGTGTCTGTTGTATACATATCTGTCTGTCCGGTGGTGTCGGTATGTGTGGGGTGTTGTTGTGGCCAATGATCACAATAGGCTGGTCTCTGCCCTATTAATTTCGTTGACGATCTGCGCGTGTTCTTCGAGTAGTCGCGCGAACTCTTCCTTTCGGAGCCGGGCGTGAGCCTAGAGATGGGACGGTAGGGTTGGGTCGCAAATAGTTGTGTAATTAGTATATATATTACATATATTGGATATTTGGATGTACCGTATAATTTGCAATTCAATTCTCTATTTATTATCTCTATATTACTGTACACACGCTCTATAACGTGCTCACGGGTTAACACAATATTATTCTCTCTCTCTCTCTCTCTCTCTCTTTCTCTCTCTCTTTCTCTCTCTCTCTCTCTCTCTCGGCGTATAAAGTGATAAAGTGTACGATTCAATCAAATATTGTATATAAAATGAACAATAATTATAAGTATGCTCTGACACATCTTTTCATCTAAAACTCTATTTAATAACTTTTAACCATTGAGTGCACGCTCTCTATCATACGAAGTATACTAGTATTTCATTACTTATTTAGTGGTCATTGACTATCGGCTTATAAACATACTATTGATTCGCTTATGTTTTAATTATAAGATATGAATAACACTTATATTCATTCATTCATTCATTGATATGAATAGTTATTCTGTCAATCAGACACAAACTATTCATTAATAGAAAAAAGCAAATGACTGTGAATTACAGAATTTGTATACAATATTGAATTCTTTGTTTAAAAACTTGTATACATATATA